TGTAAAAAAACACAACTATTAAAAGCGTGTGTTGAAATTCCATAGTGGATCCATTTCAGACGACAATTTATCTCTCCAAAAAATATGTACCTTCTCGTTCTTATATGTTCTCTGTTTATGTAAGTGTGNAGAGTTACTGGCAAGTTACTGGATAATTTGTAAAAAAACACAACTATTAAAAGCGTGTGTNCTTATAAAGGTCTTGCATCGCGCATGTATTTAATTTATTTATATTTGTTTAAAATTATAAAATAAAGTAAATCTATGCACATGCGCATGCAAATTGTTAAATGCCGTCAGTAAATAAACGAAAAGAGCCNAACAACATTGGAGATTTGAGAAATACCTTAGTTCTCAACTTAACTTCAAGTTGAGCTCAAACCTAAAAATATTTCTTTTTTTAATTTGAGATTTGGAGCCCAACTGCATTTATGCCAAACAATTATTCATTCCATCACGCATGTTATGAATCTGGCTCGGTATAAAATCTGCCAATTTTAATTCTCTTCGGGAGAAGTGGCAGCCCTAATTGTGTATGTTCAACCTGCAGTTTTGTGCCATTTGATTAGATCTGGCTACACCATTTGTCAGCTGTCAAATCCTAATCGGTTTTCGTTGGGCGACTTGGTTTTGAGGACAGATTTCAGGTAAAAGTGGTAAAAAATTATAAAATAATTTGCCCAAGACATAACTGTGCCGTTAACTTAAAGTTCTTACTCTCGCTGTATTTTTAATTTACGGCTTTGTGGAGCTTGCTGGAATTTAAGTCGTAAGGTAAAGTGGAGACACTTTCGAATCATTGTCGCTGTGATTGGAAAGTAGTTGACGTATATTTTTCTAAAAAAGAAAGTGTGCCTTTTATTCGGTCCAAAAAAACAAAATCTTCGGTTATAATTGGTAAGAAAATTGGGATTTGATCCATATTATTGTATTAAATACTTCGCAGATAAATTTATGGCAAAATTGTGTTTTTTTCAACGCCTTCATTTCGTCATCCAGACTTACATAATACGAATATATGTATGTATTTACTTGTGTATATATTTGGGGCTGATGGGAAATAAGATCGGAGGAGGCACGGCTACTGCGTTTGACGATACGTAGACGCAGTGTTTTCCACAATACATAAAGGTAAATATGTGAATGGAATTGGAAAAAGATGTAGGTTGAAATGTAAAGAGCAACCTTGAAACATTGGCTTTCAAAATAGATACCAGAGTTTCAGTGCCACATATATGTACATACATATGTATGTGTACATAGCTCAGCCAACTTTGTGGGTTATAGGGAATTTACATGATTCAACTTTCACAGGCGATTAGTTGAACCAAAAGTTGAACGAAAGTAGGCAGCCGACCAACTTCATTGGAAGCGATAAGTTGAAAGGCCGTTTACACCAGGCGATTGTTGCATTCAACTAAAAATCGTCTCATGTAAATTCCCTATTAATGTGAACTGTTCGGAAGCACACCGCATAGCTAGGCCATTATAATGTCAAGATAATTTATTAAACCAGTGGTATGTCCATTGGTGCTGTATGCTGTAAGCGTGGGCAGAAAGGGAAACGAGAGCGATGGCATCACTTTTTTTAAAAATTAAACACTCGAGCGTTGATATCTCCCATAGCGAACCTGGGAACCCATATAACCCTAAGAACTCTATTTTTTGAAAAATAAAAGTGTCCTTTTATAAATTTTGCGAAAAAAGTATTTTATTGTTTATTTTGCACATATTTTAACTTAAGTTTATTAAAAAATTTAAATCCTTATTTGTATTTGCCATCAGTGTAAACTTTGGGAGATGAGTACATGCGGAACAAGTCTTTTTCAGGTGTATTTTTTCTTAGACTGTTTAAAAACACAAAGAAAAAAGAAAAAAATGTATAGGGTTGGACGAATGAATGGTCGTCCTGGTCACCAGTTCCGAGTCTATTCCATTGCTACTTATTGCNACGAATGAATGGTCGTCCTGGTCACCAGTTCCGAGTCTATTCCATTGCTAAGTATTGAGGAAATTAGACTATGGTTACAGAAGATATGGAATAAATTAGCCGATGAACACTTGCGCTTTTCTCTCAAAGTGTTAAAATTAAAGTAAAATATGTACAAAATTAAGTATAAAATACTTGTTTCACAAAATCCATAAAGAACCCTTTTATTTAAAAAAAAAAAACGTGGGCCTCACGTATTCGCCGCCACCCTGTACATATCGCACGTTTAATAATAAATATAGAGATTTAATTCAAAATTTCATTTCAACATACAATTAACAAGCTTGAGATGGAACGACCCAGATTTATATTTGGCCAAGGACTGTCACTCCAGCAACACTCCCCTAAAACTCTTTGGGGAATTTGTATGCTGCTACAACAACAACAATAACAAAAATATGCTCAGCCTAACAGATGACTAAACTAAACTTCCCAAAAATGGCGGAGATACATATGTATGTCTTTTTGTATACTAATTGTATGAAATGATCAAACTTCGATTGCGTTTTCCCACAAAACGGAAATTTTTAAATAATTCCGTATATTTTTAACGTACGATATAAGCAAAAGCCACAACACAACCTCCCCGTCCCACGAGAGTGGGCTCTACGTAACTGGAACGACCCAGATTTATATCTGGCCAAAGACCGTCACTCCAGCAACACTCCCCAAAACTCTTTGGGGAATTTGTATGCTGTTACAAGAACAACAACAGNACACTCCCCAAAACTCTTTGGGGAATTTGTATGCTGTTACAACAACAACAACAGAACCCCCGTTCCGACGACAGTCAGGTCTACGTGCCGGGGCGACCCGGACTTATATCTGGCCAAGGACTGTCACTTCAACAACACTCCACAAAAACTCGTTGGGGTATTTGTATGCTGTTCGAACAACAACAACAAAACCTCCCCGTAAAGATGCTGCCAATCATCACATGGCATGTCTGACTTGTAGATTTAGCAAACCAATCAACTACCTATATCTTCTATTAAATTTAGGTCAAGTAACAAGTGTCCACTGATTAAAAACAAAGCTGCTGGCGCTGTCGGCGTGCCAGCTGAATTATTCAAGTACGGCAGCTTGGAATGGAAAGGGTGCCTGCATCAACTCTGATCAGAAACAAGTAACTTGTCTTTTTTAAAGTGAAGGTTGTGTGTAATTAATTTTTCTTTTTTTTTGCATATCGACGGCTGAGTTTAGGATCGCCCTATCGGCGGATAGTTCGAAAACGCCCTTTCTCAGAAAACTCTTCAAGAACGCCCTATTTCAGATATGGTTGGATAACGCCCTATCTCAGCTGCCGATTCAAAAACGCCCTATCTCAGCTTATTTTCAATGTATTTTCGTTTGAGATAGGGCGTTTTTGAACCGAATTCTGAGATAGGGCGTTCTTCAATAAAATTCTCAGATAGAGTGTTTTTCAATAAAGTTCTGAAGTAGGGCGTCCTTGAAAAGATTTCTGAGATAGGGCGTTTTCGAACCGGCTGCCGAGATAGGTCGATCTTCCACTCAGCCATCGATATACAGTGGCGGTCAAAAGTGGATGAATGGTGTTTCGTTTTTAATATTTACAAAGTTCTCCAGGCAAACAATTTTTTTGATATTTTTTTATCAAAATATAGTTCATGCTTTAACAAAAACCATATAAATCACACTTTCAAACTGTATACAGAATTTATACGAGCGATTCTTCTTGAGCAATGAAAAACGTGGAGTGATGGCCCATTGGCTCAAGCTTCGACTGGAGTATTCGATGGGATACTTTGTCAAACGCCTTAGAGAAATCAGTGTAAATTGTATCCACTTGAGATCTGTTTCGGAACGCTCAAATCCAGCATTCGCTGAAAATGGACAAATTGGTGACGGTGGAGCGGCTTGACCGCAAAATACAACTTTGCATTCACAATTATCTCAAACAGTTTGGAGACAGACGAGAGCTTCGAAATATGCCGATAATTGCGAACATAATTTCTGTTTCCACTTTTATATATAGGGGAAATGGACATCCACAAAGATACCAGAGGCCAATGATTTGTTAAAAATAACTGTAAGAGGCTCTCGAAGATACAAACAGTTTTGCAGTAAAATAGCCGAAAGGTCATCTAAGTCAGTTTTAGAAGTAGGCTTGAGCTTCCTAATTAGCTCGTGCATTTTCCTCTTTAAAATGGGCCTAAGCAGCCGAACGAATGCACGAAATTTTTGGGAATTAACTCGGATCAGGGGGAATTTTCGATGACAACACTGGTAAAAATAGCCGGCTGTGGTCTTTTGTGCAAGTAAGCAAAGAAATCAAGCGAGTTTGAGGTGAGAGTTGCGTGCTACGAGTCTGTAGGTGCCAGGTTCGATCCTCGGTTGGAGCGATTGCCAAAAATTGTTTTTTATTATTTTATTTTATTTGATTTATATATTTAATTTTAGTTTAGTTTATTTTCATTTGTTTGATTTTATATCAAATTTCTTATTTTGCTATTAATTAATTAAATTTTTTTAGAGTTTAATTGCGTTAAAAAAGTCAATAGCACCTAACGGAAAGCAACGTTAAAAAATATAGAACTTATAAAAAAATTAATAAAAAAGAAATAAATAAAAATTCTACTGGCCGTGGGACTCAAACCATGCAAAATACGATTGTTTTACGAGATTTCGGTTTTATATGCAAATTGGAATGAATAAGTGAATTTGTTCGAAACCATGACTGTATTACCGCGTAAAAAGAGGATCAAGTCCCAGTAGATAATTTCAGGAGTTAAAAGCCCTTCTGAAAGGCCTTCCTGAGAATCAAGAGGCCTTCCACTCTGCATTCTTTTCTCCTTTCTTTTTTGTATGGAGTGGCACAAATTGAAGGGCTTCCTCTTTTGCTACCCATGGAAGGCCTTCCAGAAGGGCTTTTATAGGACGTACTTCAGAAGGCCTTCCAGAAGGGCTTTTATAGGACGTACTTCAGAAGGCCTTTTGGAGGAGTTGCTTCTTTAATTTATAAAAATCATATATCTTTGAAGTATTTGCTTAAGATTTATATCAAATATGTGTTATTGGAACTTAAAACGTTTATCAGAATTCATTTGTAATGTTAAATAATATAAATTTATGCATTCGCGAAAATTGTAAATGGATAAGCCCTTCTAGAAGGCATGCAAGGAAGGACTTTTTCAGCCCTTCTTGGGTAGGCCTCTTAGGATGGCTTCACTTGAGAAGGCCTACCTAAATTATCTTCTGGGGTGGATTCATAATTGCTTTCGTTGTTAATATATGTATGTATGTAATTAGGTTTTCTTGTTATCTTTCTTATACCTCTGCGAGATGTGAATGTTGTAGCACATACATAAGTTGGCTCGCATCGTCAAATATTTATTTATTTTTTCAACTTTCTTTGCGGACTTGTGACTTTTCTGTTTTTCTCATCGCTAACTGGCGTGAATACGTTCAGTCCGTGCGCGGCGTTGCTATCGTACAGACCTCGGCAAAAACTGATGGTGGAATCACATAAATGTTAACTAGTGTTTGTAGGGTATGTGCAAAAGCAACAAAAAGTGCAAGAGTTTTCCAGTATTTGTTTCTTCATTAGTTGTCGCCTTGGAAAAGTACAAAAGTGAATTCGCTGATATAGAATTGCTCATAATTGAATATACTTTGTACATATGTATGTATGTATGTACATAGGTACTACATCAAAGTTTATCTGCCTGTCTGACCTTAATCCAAATATTTTGTTCAGCACCAATTGATTAACAGTGAAATTGCTTTCATTCTACTACGCTTGTGTGTGTGCCACTCCACTTTGTTTGCGTTGATGTGCATACATTTTTCGTAAGAGACATTTTTCTGCATTATGTAATTGAAATGCTGTCGTAATGCCGAACTTTTTCGTTTGGCGATAACAAGGAATGTTAAGAAATTAAATACATATTGTCCGGGCTGGAAATTTTGTTTTTACGTAAGAACATTTAATGTTGTGCTTTATGTGTTCTTTTTGCTTGCTTACACATCTTTGGTCAAATATTCGTACATAATTTGTTTTGTAATTAACCAAAAAATGTCCAACAGCTGCTTGTTAACGAAGTCCTCGCCAGAGACCGATTTTCGTGCTGTGCAAGTGCATATGTAAATATGTATGTATGTGTGTATGTAAAAACAATTTTTTCACGTGACGTGCTGATACTTTGCCATCGATTGATTTGTTGGCGATAGGTTTAAGGCCAAGGTCGGTGACTTTCATTTTTTATTTACCCAAATATAGATTGCAAAAAACTTTTCCGACGAGTTAATCGCATATTTTATTAGTATTATTAACACACACAAATACATAAATAATAAAACAATGCTAATAAACAAAAGCGATTACAATGGCATATGCTTAGTTATCACTTTGGTTTTTACGCGAACGCAAACTGATATGCTGATTCATAGAAAGAAAATACAAAGGCCGGAGTGATAATGTTTTTTTTTTTGTGTTCCTGGTGCATGTTTTTTGATGAGAAGAGAATGACTACAGTTTTTGTAGTGATAAGCTTAATAAATTTCGTAGTCTGAAGTGGTTTAACCTAGGCAAACAAATGAATAAGTAATGTCCGCCGGTATAAGTTCATAGTAATTTGTGGTACAATCAACATAAATCACACACAAATTCGGTAGGTAATGAAGTTATTCAAGCGGTTCATTTGCTGATAACTCATTTTTATACCCGGGTGGTATTAGGTGCGTTCCAGCGATGTTTAGATCAAAACCTGTAGAACTGTCAAAAAGAAAAAAATTTCTCACCAGAGAAAGCAACGGGTGAAAAACTGAGAAAAACTGCTGGAAAGTAAAAAAAAAAACATTTTTCCTGCAAGTGTAAAGTGATGATGAACTTCGTTTATTTAGCAATTTCGCTATTCTTTGAAAATGTATGTATGTATGTATAAATAATATACAAACATTTGATGGTTCGGTTATTAATTATAATTATCTTTTACATATTCAGTAAATTTCCTTTTAAATGTATTTAAATGTAAAACCACTTGATTGGGTTTATAATTCTGTTGGCAATTTATTAAATAAATTAATTCCCGTATTAAATAAATTATTTTGAACTGTGTATGACATCAAAGAATGTGTTCTTATGTATATCCGAACAGTTCCTAAGAAAGTATGGCTGAACATCTGGGCTTATTTCCGATTTTAGATAGTGGTGCACAAAATAATAGGAGTGCGATATTTTGACCAGTTTTGGCTATTTGTGTTTTGTTTATTTAATGTATATTATTTCTTTTATAATAGCCTAGCTGGTTATACCACAAACACGTTATACAAAATTATAAAAAATCGACAAATTTTCACCAAACTTGTTAATCAGATACTTTAGAAAAAATTTTGGTATGCTGTTTTGTAGCCCATTTAATTTTAGTACAATGAAGTGCAAGTTTCAAACTTGTAAAAAACCCCGTTGATTTTTGAGAGCTTTTTTGGTTGAACGTGTTTCACGTTTTTTCCATACAAAGTCTTTTCAACAATTTCCTTTTAGACATATGGAGGATACTGCCAGCAAAAAAAATAAATCCAAAAATCTACGGAATTTTGTAGCAACTTGAAACTTGCACTTCATTATACTATAATTAAATGTGCTACAGAACTGCATACTAACATTTTTTCTAAAGATTATGATTAAAAGATTTGAAATTTTGGTGAAAATTTGCAATTTGGTGCGTTGGCTTCTTTCAGTACAACATGGATGTTTTTCTCTTCATACCAGTTCTTGGCCATATTTCTATAATGACAGCTTGTGAAATCGCGCCAAAATAGCACAGAGCCCGAGTACCAATGACAGAAGTCGTTTCTACAAACACTTTCCGACGTCAATTTTTTGATTTATTGTCCCCGTAGTTACAAAAACGTTGCTTCTCAAACCGCATTTACACATCGCTTGCCAAATCAAAAATTGCAACATCGCCTCTGTGTCCTTGGCCGTATAGAAAGGCTGACCTGGAAGCTTATTGAAGTCCGCTTTAACGTTGGTTTCATCGTCCATGATTATGCTGTCGAAATCGTGAACAAAATTATCGAACAACTTTCGCGCTCTTGTTTTGCGGCGGCATTTTGTTTGTTTGTTCTGTTTGGCGTTAAGCTGACTTTAAATGATTGCAAACCTCCTTCTCCTTCCGAACTTTTTGAACGTATCCTTGTGACATGTTAACTTGCTAGGTATAATATTTATCGTAAAATTAATGACAGGCTTGATTAATAGCCCGGCCCTTGTGGCTGACCTCTGTTTTTGAAGCCATGCAAAACTAAGTATTGAACTAAACGAATCATTCCGTTGTTTTTGTCAAGATTTTAACTCTCATGCCGTTTATGTCAATGTATGTGATATCCACTCTCAATAATTGAAATACTGTCTTTAGCATATCCAATCCAATCAGCTGATGAATTCGATCCTATAGCTGAATGGTTTTAGATCTCGACACTTAACAAACTCCTGTTTCCAAGTCTCGACACCAAAAAACAAAAAGAAAAAAAGTTCCGTACGTGTCGGTTGGACGGGAAAAGAGGGTAAAAACCGTTGGGATTAATTAACAAAAAAAAAAAATACAGCCCAGGGTTTTGCTTAAAAATTCGTACCACTTCATTGGCTATTTTCTTTGAAGTTAATCTTTTTTTCGACCACTTCCAACTTTGCTTTCTGTTCATTAACCTGTTTGAGCACATAAGTTACGGTCGATTTAGGACCTTTCGATGATTTCGCGATATCATTACAAGAAAAATTTGGATTTTCTCCTCTTTGCTCTGGCTGTATGGCTTATTTTAACAACTATTACAAATTACGTAAAATAAGTAATGAACTAATTTAAAGTATAAAGTTGCCTAACTGCGATACACATTTTTTCTAGGCGACTGTTATTTTTGTCGGGACGAGTACGAGTGTTTGTGCGACCAAAATTTTTCTTATACTCCTTTTATATCTAAAGAATATAGCTTGATCGTGTTGTAATCGCAAATGTTGCGTTGCAAATTTCTTAAAATGTACGTTCGATGTGGATTTCTAGCAACGTTGTATGTGGAAAATTTTTGTTTTATTGGTGGTGCGATATTGCCGCCTTCTAATGTTTGTACGACGCAGAAAGCACATGCATGGTCTTGGAACAATGTATTGACTACAATATTTATAACTTTAATATTTCAAACAAGACGATTTTGATAATTATAATTACTCATATTAAAATATATGGGACGGCGGGGTTACTCTTTCAAGTTTTTTTTTCCTTCCCATACAAAAACCTGCTTGCAAATAAAACTCGAACGTGAGGGACTGTTTTAAGCAAAAGTGGTCAACACGTTGCTCTCTATTTCTTTTGCCTTACATACTAGAGTCCGACCGATTCCCAATTTTTGGCCGATGCCGATGCCGATTAGTCGGCCAGTGAGCAAAGAATCGATTCCTTAAAACAAAAACTGTCTGAATATAAATTCATTCAAGAACAAATGATCTTAGTAAACTTTATAATAACAAAAGAAAAACATAAGCAAATAACTAAATAACATTACAAACCATATAATCATCCAAGAATCTATTAACTTATTTATGTTCATAGATAAATATGTTTTAAAATACAGTAGGGCAATTTATCTAAACGCGTAAATAAATGCCTCGTATCCACGTAAACCTGGTGAACTTGTTTAATTTTGTATGGAAAACCGGTTTATTTACCAGGTTTACACAGTTACGAGGCATTTACGGGTTTAGATGAATACCCTGAGCATTGCAATGCTTTGTTCCATAGTTCTTTTCTTATTCAATGTAAAAAGATAATTCATTCGAAATAACATTTTCAGTAGTAAAAACTTGCAGCTTCTGCTAATTATAAATGTGTTTTCAATACAATTTGTTAATAAACGGTAACCGTAAATTTTAAAATAACGATGAAATTACAGTTCACGCCCGATAATGTGAACTAAATTAAACCAAGCGGGTTCACATTTTGAATTTATTCACTTTTGCGAAAAAAATATACCCATTTCATCACAGTCATGAATTTTGAAATAGATATTTACATTTGTGAATCGAAAACGAATGAATTTATTCCTTTATTGGTACAGTCTAAGATGCCTGTTTTTTTTTTTTCTTTTAAAGACAACCACTTTTTGGAGCTCATAGCAAAAATCCAACCATTCCGTGCCCGAACTAAGTGCATGTGAAATTCATTCAGTCATCTTTTAGAGCTTTCAAGTATTGTTCAGTCTTTAGAAATAAAAAGTGTTCACATTTTGGGGTGCTTAAACTTTAAAGGAATTAAAAAAGTAAAAAATAAATAACATGGAATGAAATGCGGAAAAAGTAAAAAGAATCGGCCAAAAACGGCCGATGCCGAAGCCGATACTTTTGGCCGATACTAGCCAATGCCGATGCGGCTTTATCGGTCGGACTCTATTAAATATTATAGTTATGCCCTTGCAGGACAAATTATACGGACTGCGTTATCTTGCTAGTAATGGTTAAATTAATGTATATTTTTCAAATATTTTTTAATTACAGTGAAACATAATAAGAGATGCATCGGGCACATACAGCTTTCAATTTGGTGTTATCACCCATTGCGCAAAAGAACTTTGCCACGTGGTTGATAAAAGATGGCAATTCAAAGGTATTATAATTGTTTCAAATTGCCCCAAATAAATGAATGAATTTAACTTAGATTCCTTTTATGTTTTCAGGTATGGAAAAATACCACCGTTTTGGCTACCCTGCGTGCGTACAGTTCGGCACCGGCTGAACAATTCGCGTCAGGGACATCTGCTACATATGTAGAGGAAATGTACAACTCGTGGCTACGTGATCCAACTTCAGTGCACACGGTGAATATTTGTGTGTGTGTATATTTGTTGCAAGGGTTATGAAAATAATTTCTATTCTAGTCTTGGGATGCCTATTTCCGAAGTAACTCGTATAATGCACCACCGGATTTTCAACCTGTTCAAAGAAACTTAATACCGCTTTCGGGTGGTGCTACTGCTCTCTCCTCCGGCGGAGCCATTGATTCAAAGACGATTGAGGACCATTTAGCAGTGCAAGCCATTATCAGGAGCTATCAGGTAAGCAATTCAGTAATCCAGATGAATAGAATAACAGTGGGATTAGTGTCTGCTCAATAAACCTATGTTGAGAATTTTAGCAGTATTATTTTGAATTATTTATTACCGCTACTAATTTCATAGCACTCTGTTCATTGTATAAATTGTAGTACTATCGTCAGTTTATTCCAATTCCTACTATTTTGAGTTATTCTCATTTATTTTACAACAGTAAAACTTTTCATATGTGAACGATTATTGTAAGCGATATATATATTTTTTTAAATTATGTTTTGTTTATTAGAATGCATCTTTTTAAAACAGTTTATGTATTTAAATAATCCCCAAATCCATATTCACAGTATTTATAGAAGGTATGCCAAAGATATAAATGTTATTCAGATGGAAGTTCGAAACCAATTCATAAACTCCTCTAATAATTTAGAAACTTACGCCCCCCTAATATTACTCAAATTGGTAATTGAATAGGTTATACCTAACAAGATGGGGTCTCCCTTTTCAAATATTCCCTGATTCTCATTTTTCTAACTTCATAGCTGACTTCAAGTTTAATACATACATATTACGAGGCTTATATGTATATAGTAAGTTCTTAATTTATCATTACATACAAGCAACTTGTGGACATTTATTTGCACACCTTAGATTAGTTTTATAATTTACGATCATAAACCATTAAAATAATCGAATAATGTTACACTATCAACTCAACAACAATGAAACCCTCCATCAACATCTGAATGATATCAAATGATCATGCATTAATGTGATTCCTTTGAATGAATAACGTTGTTACACCTAAAGTCTCGCGGTCATTTGGCAGCTGATTTGGATCCGCTTGGCATCTTGAGGACGGATATTGCTGTCAGCAAAGATGGTCAGACTCGCCGAGCTAACGAAGCTGTGCTGCGGCAGCATTCCTCCTTTTTTGTTGGTAATTGCTTAAACTGATTTCATTTCTTTTAGTTTAAAATAATAATTGAAATTGAATAAATGAATATTATGAAAAACGATTTGGTGCGCTGTCGCAATGAAATTCGGAGTTACAGTATTATATTTTGTCTTTCTAATACTTCTTGACACCGACCTGTGTCACGCTATATGTATATTTTCGAACAACTACACATGTTAGGCTAATCAGTCCTTAGCTGAAATTATAATTGCTGATCTGATAAAAGATACATTAATTTTATGCTTAAGTTGTTAAAATTTGTAATTCTGCTGTATGATTTGCGGGAAACTAAAATATGTATGTACCTTTGAAATTACTTTTTTGTTTTCATGTACCTCATCCATCAGTGGTTTCGATTGCATGGGGCAAAATCTATTTGCTAAAAACAAAAAAACCACTTAAACATTTGTAAAATAACAATTTCGCTGTGAGAACCCCTAAAAGTATTCCTTACTATTCCTTTGTGCACAGGCAGCAAGTAGTAAAAGTATGTATATAGTTGTATACGTATGACATATCATCGCATCTGACTCATATAAAAAAACGTATGCACCTCATACAGACCATTTCCAGCTCATTTTACGTAACTACATACCGTTACCTTAATTCACAAAGGCCCTAACAAACACTTTTTTCGAAATTCCTTTTTTTCACAGATTTTGGTAGGTTTTAGTACCAAAAGCCCTCCACCTGTGTTGATATTATTTTTGAAATGTTTTTGTGCTTCTCATTAATTAATTAAAAAATGTGTTAGTTAGGGCCTTTCAATACTTTCATTCTCGTGAAGGCTGGGGATTTTTTGTATCTAATAATTATAATTTTTAAAAATTACTATTTGGTTGGTTTTGATTTTCTTATTATTTTTTTAATCTTGTATTTTCTTTTCTTTACATATCTCTTCTTTTTGATTATTCGTTACATTTCTGCCTATCCTTCTGTTGCTAAATTGAAAAATGAACAAAATATATGCATATACTATGTAAAAACGGAATCCAAATTTTTTCTATGTGTTTGTTCGTCAATGACCAAACCCACACGCTTTTGAACTGTTTCAATAGATTCGAGGACATAACATTGCACACCTCGACCCTCTTGAAATTAATATCGCAGAATTGCCCGACAACTGCTCGACGAAAGCCATTTACGCTAATTTCAGTTTTGGTAAGTAGGATATACCAAAAAAAAAGCATCATATCAAGATCAAAAACCCAATAAAAACGTAAAAAGATATTGTCAAATTGAAGCCGGTCCTTTCCGTTTCCTTAGAATTATGTACGTAGGTGTATCCGTGTGATGATTTATCCTGGTATAGTTTATAACTTCACACCATTTTATTTATAAATAGTATGTATTTCAATATATTCTATACATTTAAGCTCTACCCAGAATTACGCCGGCTGACGGTAAACGGCTGTCAAAATTAAATTTCACCAAAAAAAAAATAGGGACAGGCACCTAATTGAGGCGGCAGCGTTTTTACGCCAACGTTTTTCGGTTGATTTTATATTATTTCTAGTTTTACCGTCCACCGGAGGCGGCATATTGTTGGTTGTAATGATTTTAGCTATTTTCACAAGTTTGCATCCACACTGTGATTACACTGTGGCGATTAAACAGCTGTTCACTTACCGCCGACAGCTTTACCGTCGTCCGCTAAAATTCGGGGTAGAGCTTTAGTGTTTTTTTTTTGTCTCAACTGTAATAAATTAATGTTTACTTGTCACCCACAAATTTGATACAAGTTAATGTCGAGTGTTCGTGCAAACGTCATCGTAATTCGTAATTCGTCATCGTATTCACAGTTCCTTACAGTAAAACAGATTTGGCATTTTCTTTAAATCTAACCTATATATTGTCGTTTAAAGTACAAAACCGCGTATCGTCGTTCTGCAAAACAGCCTAACTAACATTTTTTGCCAAAAATGCGATTGCTTTATAAAAAAGAGAACCATTTTGAAATATGAGTGTTTTTACTCTACTCTCTACAAAATAATTTGTGCGAACTGACATACGCGGTTTTGTACTTTACGACGATATGTATGTGTGTACGTTGTCGCAAAAAATATCTGATGGTATGGGTTCAATGTAATCAATTTCTACTAAAAGAGTGATTTATAATAAAACCAACGTTTTCCAACAAAATTTTAAATGTATTTACTAAAAGCCCAAATTCGATACTATTTACGAGTAACTCAAAAATTCGATTTGCCAGAGCACTGCAAAGTAACTTTAATCATTATAGATAGACCTATATTTCAACATCAGGATATATTATGCAGCTTTTAAATATTCACATGCCACGTTAGGGCTGCAAGTAACATAAGAAATTATCATTTTCTTTCCTAGTAAAATGTTAAATGCAAAAATAAAATTAAAGTTAGTCAAAAAGTGAGTGTATGTTAAGTTAAAATTTTCCTAAATAGTATGCTAATAACAGCTATGTGGTGAGGACACACCATTGGAAGTCAGAGTATGTGTTCTGTTTTCACAAAGTAGTCGATTTGAAAATGTTCAAATAATAAATAAGTAAAAGCTTTGTAAGGCCCGTGAAATCGGAAATGCAGGCACCTGCAGTTTATTATTAACTGAATTTTTGTGATTGATGTAAACATCTTGGCTAATAAAATCCCCTTTTGAATTTAAATTTTGGTCATTTAATGCCCAGGGAAACTGACAAGAACAGTACGTTGAAATTAGGGTCGAAATTGGTAAGCTGGCGACTTTTTGCATTGTCGTCAATTCTTTTTTAATACTGCAAGGCTAGTCACTAGGAATGCAAAACACGGTTTGCGGGTGCCTGGGCTTGTGGAATCACTACGATGTTAAAAACAAGGGCGGCCGAGGTTTTTATTAGCTCAAATCAAATTACGCACTAACGCTAGAAATACAACTTAGTAATCAAACCATGAGAGGATTTTGTCCAAACCTACACCAAAACCTTTTTACGAAGAGTTAAAGGTTGGACTTTTTGATGATAATTTAATCTTTTTAAACGAAATGTTTGTGGTTTCTCCACTCCCTTAAAATCCTTTTTTGAACATATTTGTAGTATATCTTAACCCTCTAACTTCCAGTTTTTCAAAAGTTAGTGGGTTAGTAATTTGCACAAAAAATTATCCACCAAATTTTACTATTACAAGAGAATTATGTCCTCAGTCGATACGTTAATAAAAATACAAACTTAGTGATTTACATAATTTTTGGCCAAAAAGTAAAACCTTTGAACCACTGTAAAGCAAAATTGTAATAAGATGGAATGAAATCCACTCAGAAAAAACCTTTTACTTAAAATACCAATTGTCTGCCGTTACAAAATATTACTATCTTTAACTTAAAGTCTGGAAATCTTTATATGAGTTTATGAGATATTATGATGTAAAATATTTGGTCACCGGACTCGTAAAGCTTGGCTTAGCTAATAAGATGATTCAAACACAAATTACTCAAAATAAAAAATAAAAAAAAAACGATTATAACACCGAACCCCTAACTACATATTCCCTTGCTTGTCTGAAATTTAAATTTTTGTTTTTTTTTACCGTAGTGTGTACAGGTTTAGATACTAGTTATGTTTGGAAATAAATGCTAGCCCTGTTCTGCTGAAGTAAGCTCTTGATTGTCGTTTAATCGATGAATAGTGATTATCAATTATTGTAATAAAATATAAACTAAAGCTTGAAGACAAACGTGCAAATTTACGAGAAACCCTACCTCGTTAACGATTTTTTTGAAAAAGTTACAAAGGTATATTCTTATTTCTGTACGAATCGAAAATACTTAGTGATTTCCTCGCACTCGAAAACTTGAAATGATTTTATGTTGAGATTTTCGGCGCTCTCGAGGCTTTCCAAGTTTATAGAAGAAATACCCCTATTGGAATTTTCCGTGCAAAAATTTTAAACTTTCCATTCGTACAAAAACAAGAGTACGCCTCAATAATAAAAGTATATCAAGTCTTATTAAATATAGTAGAATTAACAACCAAACACCACTCTATGTCAGCTGACCTTATTGTCAAAAATAAATAAAGAATAATACAAGGTTATCCATTTTAGCCTCGGTGAAGTAAAAGTTGTGTATCGCATAGCCATACCAAAAGGACTCCAAGACGTCTTGTGGAAACCACATTTCGTCCAGATCGAAATCCTCAGTGTCAGCTAAAAGAAATCGTAGATAATATGGCGACTTTAGTTTCCCCATCGCGAAATGGGCAGCCCGTTATAAATGAGGGTTTTCATTAGTTGCGTTCCAGATGCTTGACGATTTGCATTGATGGTTTTACAGGATTTGCACGAAAAGCTGTTTTCGCCATTAATAAACCTTATGGAAGGTGGCCCCTGGAACAGCTTCGTGTAAAATCCTGCAAATCGTGAAGCATCTGGAAGTGCGACATTCTCGTCCGAAGTTCAAAAGGGGAACAGTCGAAGTCATTTAGGGCCATAAGAACAGAAGTGGCCTAACCCACATTTTTTTTTATTCATACTTAAAGTAGTGTCAAATGTGATAATTTTTTTAATAAATGTCACTTACTCTTTAGTTTGATGGTACACAGCTACATAGCGTACTATCAAAGCAAATAAAAGAAAAATAAGTTAACTACAAAAAAAAATTAAAAATGTGAGTTAGGCCACTTCTGTCCTCATGCGCTCATTTTTACTTGATTGAATGTGATTTGCTGATTTGTTGAATATGCAATACATACTATTTGGACTGGAACTGTGAATAACATCAAACGAACAGTGATGCCTCTCGAAATTTCATTATTATGCCGAATTTCCACTTGGCATTGAAATGACAAAAAATGCCATGTGGAAATGAAATTAATGACAATTTTTTCAACGTAATGAGTTTTAATGCCCAACTTTGTCATTAGTCATTTTTGCCATTTAATGCCTAGTGGAAATCCAGCATTAGACTTTAGATTTAGTTGTATGTACTGTTTTCTGGACACTTACCACCTGTAGTACCTAAGCATTGTAAATTTTTTAATATTCATGAAAATAGGTTTTGAACTCATTAACATCCACAGTTACACGTCTAGAAATCTTGGTAATGGGTTTTCACAGAATGAGTCTCTAAATTTTACTGAATATTAATTTTAAATGTTTGTATTCAGAATTGACGCTTATTGCATTGTATGTAGTACAGAAACATAGCATAAACGGTTTCGATATTTCAAATTGCTCTAACTTCTAATCGCTTGCCCATATATAGGGCTCGGAATCTCATGCACCCAAAATTCAAAAACAACGAAAACAATTCACTTCAAGAAACAATAAATATTTATGTATAAAATTTGATTATAATCAAGCAGACAGTTGCAATCTTGTGTAAATAGAAACATTGACCGTTTAATAGGGGAACCTTTGGTTGGTTTTGTCACCCTGGGGACAAGCAATTTGTAAGTTTGCCATTTTGATTGCACAACTCGTACAACCTACACAGCCATTTGGCGTCTTAAATGAATTTCCGTACGTAATGCAGAGAGAGGCAGTTGCACTGTAACAAAATTCTGCTTGGCCTTCATGTGATAAATTTCGGTAATTTTTGCGTGGGACACATCCAGTGCTGATAGTTCGTCCGCTGCCGTAAATGGCCCTATGTCCCGGGACCCATAATATTAAGGTAATTATGTATTCATCAGAGATATAGGCCAGCTCTCTCCCACAGTCCTCCACTAGTTGAGATCTAACAGAGGTAGAAGAGAGTGCCTCAATGGCCGCTTGGCTATCCGAGAAGATATTCAGATGTATATTTGGAAAAATGTAAGGTAGTTTTTTGTCCAGAGATTTCGCACAAAAGTTAAATGGTTGTAAATAAAAAAAAGCAAAAATATGCAAAATCAGGTATTTTTTGCAAAATATGCGAAATCATGCATTTACTGCAAAATATGCACTAACAATTGAATGCCATTTTAAAGGAAATTTCACGATTCGTAAAGCCAACTCAACCATTTCCCTTTGAAGATGACCAGTAACAAGTAATTTTTAGCAAAACAAAAACCGTCTTCAACTCCCATACAAAAAAAAAATATATATATATATATATATCATGATCCACTGATCGGATCTCAACCAGATTAGTATTAGTAGGGACCACCTCTGAGACACTACCTTTCCGAGGCAAAAAGAATTATCGAAATCGGTTGACGTGGTCCAAAGTTATGCGGTAACATACATAAAAAAAAAAAAAAAAAAATATTCCGACGAACTGATAACCTCCTCCTTTTTTAGAAGTCGGTTAAAAACATGCATTTGCATGAGATTCCGTGCCCTAGCCATACATATATAATTGTTTCGACTGAATGTATGTTTCGACAGGTCGTGATATTTTCTATGTCCTGTATATCCATAATAACTTCTGTCTGAACTAAGTGTTGCCATAAAACATGTTATGTAAAAACGATCTCCTCCGGATTTCAAAGCAAATAAAAAAATTCTATGTACTATATTTGTTTGACATGAATTTTGATTTGGGCTTGATATCATCTAATATATTTGTTCTCAAAATGTAGGAGAACAAGATATGGACCGACCATTCAAACTTCCTAGTACTACATTTATCGGCGGAGATGAAACCACTTTGCCATTGCGGTAAGCAACGTAACCAAACGCGGTTTTTCGTAACCGAGAAGTTAGATATTTAAACATTTTTGTTTAGAGAGATCCTAAATCGTCTTGAAAATGTGTACTGTAATAAAGTTGGCGTGGAGTATATGTTTATTAATTCGCTGGAACAGTGTAACTGGATTAGGAAGCGTTTCGAAACACCTGGAGTCATGAACTATTCACCAGAACAAAAGCGACTCATTCTGGCGCGTTTAACTCGCGCCACAGGGTAAGAAAAGTTCAACTATTTACTACAAAGCGTTCATTGCCTAGAGATATATACTATACATACTTTAATTGATTATAGTTTTGAAGCATTTTTGGCGAAGAAATATTCATCTGAAAAGCGGTTCGGTCTGGAAGGTGGTGAGATGCTAATACCGGCTATGAAAGAGGTAATTGATGTTTCAACTGAATTGGGTGTCGAATCGGTGATAATGGGTATGCCACATCGTGGACGTCTCAATGTCTTGGCCAATGTTTGTCGTAAACCGTTACCCCAAATATTCACACAATTCGCTGGATTGGAAGCAGCTGATGACGTGAGTTGATTATTTATTGACTATTCGGCATTTTTTGATATTGCTATTGTGCAATCTTTCCAGGGTTCTGGTGATGTGAAATACCATTTAGGAACCTATATTGAGCGTTTGAACCGCGTCACTAATAAAAATATTCGATTAGCTGTTGTTGCCAATCCTTCTCACTTGGAAGCTTCTTGCCCCGTGGTACAGGGCAAGACTCGTGCTGAACAGTTCTACCGTGGCGATCAGGAAGGCAAGAAGGTCATGTCTATATTATTGCACGGAGATGCTGCGTTCTGTGGTCAAGGTGTTGTTTACGAGACGATGCACTTGTCTGATTTACCCGACTACACCACTCACGGCACCATCCATGTTGTCGTAAACAATCAAATCGGCTTCACTACCGACCCTCGTTTCTCACGCTCGTCGCCCTACTGCACCGATGTCGCTCGCGTCGTAAATGCTCCAATTTTCCATGTGAATGCAGATGATCCAGAAGCTGTTGTGCATGTGAGCAGAGTGGCCGCTGAGTGGCGTGCTACCTTCCATAAAGATGTCGTTATCGATTTGGTTAGCTATCGACGCAATGGCCACAATGAAGTGGATGAGCCCATGTTTACACAACCCCTGATGTACCAAAAGATTAGGAAACACAAAACCTGCTTGGAATTGTACGCGAACAAACTTATCGCTGAAGGCACAGTCACTCCTGAAGAAGTAAAGGCTGTAGCCGACAAATACGATAAAATCTGTGAGGAGTCCTTAGAATTAGCTAAACAGGAAACACACATCAAGGTAAGAAGAAGTTCTGTGTACCGAATTTATCTATTCATTTTCGGACGTCACAATTTCATATTAATGCACATACTCCTCTCTAACAGTACAAAGATTGGCTTGACTCTCCATGGTCTGGTTTTTTCGAAGGCAAAGATCCCTTGAAAGTATCACCAACCGGTGTAAAAGAGGAAACGCTTATTCATATTGGCAACCGATTCTCGGCGCCGCCACCAAATGCCGCGGAGTTCGTCATACATAAGTATTAAGAACTAATTTTTTTCTATTTTCCATTGTAATTACAAAAATATTTTCTAATTGTTTCAGAGGTTTACTGCGTGTGTTGGCTGCTCGGAAGAACATGGTTGACGAGAAGATTGCTGATTGGGCGTTAGCGGAGGCAATGGCTTTCGGATCGCTGCTTAAAGAGGGTATTCATGTGAGATTGTCTGGTCAGGATGTTGAGCGTGGCACATTCTCACATAGGCATCATGTATTGCATCACCAGCTGGTAGACAAAGCTGTCTACAACCCTCTACAGCACTTGTATCCAGATCAGGCGCCATATTCAGTTTCGAACAGTTCCCTTTCTGAGTTCGCAGTTTTAGGTTTTGAGCATGGATATTCGATGACCAACCCTAACGCTTTGGTGTTGTGGGAAGCTCAGTTCGGAGATTTCTGTAACACTGCTCAATGTATTATTGATCAGTTTATCTCGAGCGGCCAAGCCAAATGGGTTCGCCAATCGGGATTGGTTTGCCTTTTGCCTCATGGTATGGAAGGCATGGGTCCAGAACACTCATCCGGTCGTTTAGAACGCTTCTTGAGTCTATGCGCTGATGATCCCGATTATTTCCCTCCTGAATCTGATGAATTCGCTATTCGACAATTGCACGATATTAATATGATCGTAGCCAACTGCTCGACGCCAGCCAATTATTACCACATTTTACGTCGGCAGATTGCAATGCCTTTCCGCAAGCCTCTGATTTTAATGACTCCTAAGTCCCTGCTCCGCCACCCATTGGCAAGAAGTCCTTTCAAGGAAATGGCCGAAGGTAGTGAATTCAGACGTGTAATTCCTGATGAAGGTCCTGCAGCAGAAAATGCAGACAATGTGAAGAAAGTGCTCTTCTGTACTGGACGTGTTTTTTACGATCTGTTAAAGGCGCGTGAAGACAAGAAATTAGAGAAAGAGATTGCCATCGTACGCGTAGAACAGGTTAGAAACAACGCAAACTGTACAGTGATTGAGTAGGCTTTATTGATTTTTCGGGTTTTTTCGTTTTTACTACTTAATAGATTTCACCCTTCCCATTCGACTTAGTCAAAGAGCAAAGTAACGTTTATAAAAACGCAGATCTATTCTGGGTTCAGGAAGAACACAAGAACTCAGGGGCCTGGACGTACGTGCAACCTCGCTTCCTAACAGCCCTTAACCACGACAAGGATGTCGGGTAAGTCTCTTGAAACATTTTTAATTTATTTTCCTTTTTTTTTTTGTTTTTAATCACATGCGTATAAACATACATATTTTATAACTCGGTAAATCGAATTATTCGAATATGACATTAGTCGACGCTATCGACTATTTGACTATTTTCGACCATTTGACTTTTGGGTTATTCGACTATTACGAGCTCCAACCTAGACGACATTTAAGTATATACCCTTTGAAAATATTATTTTTCTCATCTTTAGTTCTCGAAATGAAAATCTAAACACGACATTTGCTACATTACTAATTTATACAAATTAGATAAATACATATATGGGTAAAATCTGTTGTTGCTAAAAAGCCAATAGAGTGATAAAAAGCGAGCATTTTGGAAACTGATATAAAGCAGATGGAAGTACGAGTCCATTCATATACAGTAACGGTTGAAGTCAGTAGAACGGTTATGCAATAATCGCATTGTTCAATCCATAATCAATAACACTGCTATTTAAGCGTATAGCTCCAAATTTTTGGAATATAGTTTATTTCTCTAGCATATTTAAATTACCACAACCACTTATGTACTATATTGAAAATCAATTATGAATATCTTGTTTCCTTTTTTGATATGTTTTGCTTTTATGACCGCCGTTATCCCGGAAGGCATACTTTCAATACAATATTTTATGCTTAAGACTTGATTTCTGGTGCATTTTACTACCACTCAAAGATGTTTTTTTCTAAAAACTAGAATATTTCAATTATCGCAGAAGTACACGAGGTATTTTAGACTCTCGATAAGCAAGGTGCAACATCCTGCATACAAACGTTTTTTTCTTTACTCTCTCTGTTTTACTCAACGTATGGTTTGAACACCTTCCACCAAATAAAGAGATATATAATGTAAAAAACAAAGGTAACGAGGGATATCTACTTTTTTTTTTTGCAACCCTTTCCTACATTGCTCCAAAACGAACGATTGATGGACTCGTTTGTAACGAACTATCTTAGCGATTTTGTTTAGTTATTTGGTATTTTCTCTGTAGCGAGCTTCTTTTTAACTCAACGCTTTCGACATCTTTTGCACGCAAAGAGGCATATAGCTAGCTTAGAGTGAAAAGTTGCTAAGTCGACTTTTTATTAAAACTCATATTTTGATACAGGAGGCTAGATTTTTCTGCATTATTTCGAAAACGATAAAGGTACTTATTTTATTTATTCTTGTTTATATTCAATGAAAGAAAAATTTACTTAGTCCAAAAGAAGCTCCGAAAATCCGGATAATACTAAATCTTTGCTTTGCTTTAAACAGCCAAAATGTTGTGTTCAAATTTTTGCGAAATACTTGAAGAAAAATGCTATAAAAAGCTTTCTTCCTCTGCTGTAAAATTTAGAAAATTGGACTTGGTAACTTTTCACTCTAAGCTAAGCTAAATAATACATGCAAGGTAATTTAAAATTTTGCAAAAAAAAAGTCAAATTTTTTAGCTCCCCTATGTCAAGAACTACCAGGAACGAAGTGTTTGCCCAACCGCAATAGCTCCGTTATTGAGAACTACGGACAAATCTTCATTATTCAGATTCCCATATGAAAGAACAACATTTCGATTAATAGGATTTAATTGTTGCAATAGTCGAATAATCGTTGCAAAGCGATATAAGGGCTAACGTAGTACATAGTACATGCAAAGCGACTAGTCGAAGAGTCAGACCCTGCCGAATATTCTAATGGCTATCATCAACCGGCTGTGCTGACTGTGACTCCATTAGTCGGTTAACGGAATAGTCGAATAGTTTTAAAAACTTTTGAGGAAATGTAAAAAAAGTAACAAGTTCACACGCTTCATCTTTATTACGTTTGCGATGAGCTCCATAGTTATTCTGTTTACGACTAATTTAATTCTTGGTGCCATTGAAAACGTAAGAGTTGCACCAAATTCATCATGCGCTATACAAAATTTTCCAACTGCACCTAAGTAGTCTTAATATGTACATATAATGTATGCTTCTCGCTATGGTAGTCAGTTATGGAGTACGGTTACTATAAGGTAGACAATTTTATTTTTATAATTTTGTTTTTTGTTTTGAAAAGTTAGTACATAACTACTTTTAATAATTAATAAAAATAGATTTGATCAGACAAGGAAATTCGATCAATAGGCTATTCAATGTGGAGAATAGTTCGCATTTCATGTTACAGTTAAAAAAGGATATGAAAACAAAATGCATTTATTTGATTTTTTTACTTTTCCCAGGGCATAAGACTTGTGTTAAAATAAAACTCATGTTTATATAGCACAGCTTTGAAGTTTTTATGTTTGTTAATTATTACATTATTATCCCCTTTATATATAATTTTCAGTTATCAGTTCCATCAAACAGCTAACATTTATCATTTTCCTACTAAAACGTTGTCTTTACATATTAATAGTGCTCTTTTATTTAAGAGGATATCATCTACATATACATACATATTTGTATTTGTGTATGCAAACACTCTCTTTGCCAAGAAGTTAAAAATGTTAATTGTGCAACTGTTTTAAAGCTGCCTTAGTGCGAGTGAGGACGAATAATATGTATATAATGAACAACGTTTTTCGAATATCGAAAGCAACCAACAAATCCATTCTTTGTGTGTGTGTATTATTGTTACAGCTCCTCTAACCCGGCCACAATACAGACTAGCGCCGCCGACTCTGCTTCCGATTCGAAAACGAAGCCGTGGTTGAGTCGTGTTTTCGCCAATGAAAAGAGCGACACCGCCGAAGGCGAACAGAAACCAGTCGACTATTTCGATGCACGCGAAGTTCGAGATATGCAAGGCAATTTCAATAAGCCCGCTGGTAGCCGGGACATTTCGCCAAAATACAACTTTGGACGTAAAATTAGGTGAGGAAAGAGAGCGCCGTCCGAATTCTCAAATCTCACGATGTGATGTGGGTCGATGCGCTTTAGTAGCAAATCTTTGCAATCTATATTCTCTTTTGCATAAAATTATCTAATATTTTCTATCTACAACGAAAATCATTGGAACAATGTATGATGTAATTTTATTTGTTTGCCCGTTAAGATGTAATTTTCGCAATGTAGGGTATCTCGGCACTGTATTCACATTTTTGCTTTCTATAAAACAATGAAAACAAAATTTTCCAAAGCGCCGGCATTTCTCAATACTCATAAAGTTTTCTTTGATTTTGCCAAATTAGTATTACATAGCTGAAATTTATGGTATTTTTTAGTATTTGTATGTTATCGTGCCGAAAGTAAAGTAGCGCAAATCTAGTCGTCATTCAATTTTGAATGCACGCAGTATGTTTTCAATGTTTTAGTGTTGTGACTTAACTCATATGCTCCATTTTGTTCTACTTATTCATTAACTAACGCCATATATTTCGTTTTTAATCCTTTGCTTTGTAACTTTGTAATGGTTCTCAGAGTTGAGTACTATGTGTTTGTCGCATCCTTTGTGTTTTTCCCTTTTTAGCGGTGCTGTCTTTTTTTTAATTTTTCCATTAATTTATAATCGAATAGAATCAAGTCTTGAAAATCAAATAACAAGCGCCCAATTGATCTCGAATTTAAATGATGCTGAGGAGCAATAAATCCCTCAGTCTGGCAGCATGAAATGTGAGCATGAGCAGCAAAATGTAAAGCAATTGGAATTTGGGCCTGTGCCAATCAGTAGCAAAGTTCTGTGGTGAAAAAACAGTTTGCTATGAGTGAGAAAATTTTACATTCCTGTTCTGCCGGCTTGGTCATTTCTTTCACCTCATAGTTGTCAAAAATTTACTATCCGGAGTACTTTGCTATCAATTGGTACAGGACCTTTGTTGAAATTCGGTGTCAGTGGACAAATAATCTTAATTGTATTGAATATTTTATGATAGTTTTCTTCGAATTCTATCGGTAGTGTAAAATTGTTTTGTCAGTAGCGTGTTAGCGGGTAGCGGGCCCAGTTAACCGGTCGCTAATATAAGCTCATAAGTACTATGGTGACAATTCGAAAACTAATCGGCTCTCATTTCACTCATATATGCCAAGATTAAATCCTTGGGATCTTTTTTCATTGTTGAATTCATATCAGTCATATGATTTATATTTTGACTATTAACCATAATTTCGCTCATTAAATAACATTTAACTTTGCATGCACGGATTTGGCCATCACTGCTGGTTTTTATTATGGCATTTTGATGGCGGCATTTGCAAAATATTTTCGCAGTAATGCCGTATTGAAAACTAGTATTGATACTCTCATGTGTAAGGATAGTCCATAAATCACCAATAGAGTATTTAGCGTTGCATTGTTCCATAAATTTCGAACATTTTCATTATGAACTGCATATTTTATTACTCAAAACAGACTAATCATTTTTGAATATTCTTCTTCTCCTCCTCTTACTTTAAACATCCTTATTCACAAATCTCTTTTCCAATATCCCAACCATTTTCCCCCTCCTTACCCACTTTTGCACAAACAATGATTGTGCTGTTTTTTCCTTTCTTTTCGTTCTGCTTTCTTTATTTGTGTTACTGTAGCTACATTGGAAGGCCATGCAGCGCTTCCACCGCCACCGGCTCAAAGGTGCAGCATACTCGTGAACTAAACGCATTGCTCAACGATGCAACGACGGTCTAAACGGGGTCGAATGCGAGATGATGTATAGTGAAGTTTTAATTGGCTTGAGATATTTCTGCGGATAACCGAGATCATAATCCTCTATATTTACAACAGCAATGGACACATAATAAACTATACAATTACATTATTTTTTTCCTTTATTTTCGTCGACATACAAAGTAAATAATCAACATGCATACATACCTACATATATGGAGATTGCAGTTTTAGTAGAAATAATTGTATGACTAATTTATAAAGAAACTATTAAGGCGTGTATTAATTAAAAAAATATCGTCTCGATATTTGCGAAAGTTTGAAATGCGAGAGAAACGATATAAAAAAACAAATAGGAACAAAAATGCAAATATTAAAATAACGAACGGCCTTATTTATTTATGTGTATGTATGGCTTTTTATATTGAAATGACTCTCCATTTTCACGTAAACAATAATTATTTTGGCTGTTCACAAAAAAACAAGGAATGGAATGTAGTTGTGAATTACAAAGATGCAAACTGTCAGGGATCAATTAGTTTCAATGTATGTATGTATGTATGTGTGTATTTAAGTATATGTTAACAACAATTGTTTCATCTAGCAAAATGTCCAATTAATTGAAACAGAATTAAGATACCAATAGTTTTTTAGTTATTTTGACGTCATAAAGGAGCAATATATGTATAATTTTATTATTGTTTATTAAGAAATGAAAACACGACGACGTCACAAATACATACATACTTGTTTTCCTTGACGTTCTTACTTTGGATCATTATAAAAGCGTGCTTTTTCTGCGCTGGAAGATACATGACTTTCTCAACAGCAGACACGAACATAATATGTATTTGTATATTTATTTATAGAAGCGTAAAAATAAACGAGAATTTCTAAGATTATGATCGCATATTTAAGTTATTAATTTACTAAATTATGACTCAGATCGCCAAAATAATTTTGCCTATAAAAACAAAAGCGTTGTGGCATCCTTCGATTGGATTCTTCATTTACCTTTTATTTCTTGACATTATTTATGTATGTATTATATTATTTATGATTTTCGTTATTTATAAGTCTATATGATACTATGGAAAAATAAAAAAAAAAACCGATAATATATAAAGAAACAAAAACCATCATTCTTACTTTTCAAAAGCATTGGTGATAATTTTTAAGAATTCACAGAATCAACATATATGTACATATATTAAAGAGGAAAGTGTCCTTGCTTTTGTTTTTTTTGTTTATTTTTTTTTTTGCAATTGAAATTTCTTGCGCTTTACAAAATATGTATGTATAAGTACATTGGTTTGGTAAACAAACTCAACAGGTGATAATTGATATTCATATCTAAAATATTTATACATACATATGTTTATACTATACTTAAATTTACATTAAGTATGTTTGTTGACATACATGTATGTACATTGAAGTTTCTTTCATAATGGTGTGAATCCGCTGAAAAGTTAACTCTTTCTTACATAAAACAGATAACTATTTATAAAATATTTTGATAGATGGCCATTTCGGTTCATTGCCGAGAGTAAAACAAAATTTAAAGTATGCGTATGTGTAGAATGATAATCAATAACATGTAAATGCTATCGTAAATGCGCTATTAATATAGAGGCCAGTATTGTTAAGAAGAAGAGGTTTAAAAATGCTGATGTCGCACGTTTAATAATATAAAGATGTAATTCAAAATTTACGCTTTTGGAGATTTCTTCATACAATTAATAAGCTTGATAGATAAGTAGAACATGTTCAGCCTAACAGATGGCGGTCTTTTTGTATACCAACTGTATGAATTCATCGAACTTTGATTGCGTTTTCCCACAAAATTGAATTTTTGAAATACTTCTGTATACTATTAAACGTGCGATGTATGTACATATATATAGAAAACTTTGCCTGAAGGCACCTACTTGTGCTTTGTCGATATCCAAAAACCGTATTTATATTGCACTCGTTCTTCAAAAGTGCATTTATACGAAATTCCTCATTTGTTAGAAATCGGCAACAATATTTTTTATGGGGAAGGGAGGCTTTACTGTGGATTTTGCAATAAATTAAAATGAAAGTATTGTTGCTTGAAGATACATTTGGTGTCTATAAACATTTCTAGTGAATAATATCAAAAATGTTGAACTAATACACTTGAAGAACGTTTGCGATATGTACAAGAAAATTAACTTTTCGCACTTTCTCTCACGAATCTACCGATTTAGACATTAATATATGGTCACAAGATGTAGATATGTAAGTACTGAAAGCACTCTGACCCACAAACATATTAAATAAAGAAAAGATTCGAACCAAACCTTAGAAATTTGTCTCATTCGTGGATTTCTTGACGGTTAGCAGAAAGTTGCCGCTTTTTGGAGATGTGGTGGGGGATTTTTATCTTGCCTCCTCGATATGATAAGGCAGAATCGAACATCGTAAGATCGTCCGGTAAACAGGTAATTTCAACATTTGTGGGATCTTATGTTTGCCAATCTTTCGTACAGCGCTTTGCTTGAAAATGATGACAATAACATCAACCTAGCACCAGACGAGACAGAGCTTTGTCGGCCTCGGGAGACTCGCACCATCATAGCCCAACTTCGCTCTGGCTACTGCAGCAGGCTTAACTCCTACTTGAGCAGGATAAATGCAGATGTACCCAATGAGTGTCTGGCATGCCGAGAGGCACCTCACCGCACGACTCGCAACATCTACTCGCATGCGCCCTAAACCCCACTGGACCAACCCAGTCGGGATTGCGCACTTGCTGTGTCTCCCGTTAGTTGAGCTTGGCGACAAACAACTCGATTTTCTTAAAACTCTGTCGTAACGATTTCTTCTTTTCGGTCTTAAATTACTGGAATAGGAGCAGGAAATAATGTAACTCGTACATGGCGAATGAGTAACGTTCGTATCTACATATACTTTTTTGGCTATATGACATATTTTTTTTTAGATTCCAAAACTGGAAACTTCGGGTTTTTTCCATAATACTGCATATCATTTTTTTTGCTGCCTAAATTTTTTAATATACAGAGTTGGTGGAAACATGAAACATATGAAATGTATGTAGTATATACTGTTATGTAAAAAAAAAATGTGCCACGACATCTTGACCAAGTTTGACTATTTTCCTTTCATTTGTTTAATGTTTATTAATTTTTTATTAAATGCTAGTTAATTATAGAATACTTAACCCCACATAAATTCACATTTCAAACTCTGCACTATAGGTAATTTGAACAGTTTATATGACCAAATGTCGTACTCGCAAAAGTAAACTTCTTGTCCTTGGTATTTGATAAACAAAACTTCAAACCAAACAACGGTGTCTTCTGGGCTCGAATCGTAACATCCGTTCACGGATCGAAAACGATACGAAAGAAAATTACGTGATACGTCAGGCAGTATAAGCTGAATGCGACAAAGAGTACGATCACGTATGTCGAAAAATGTGTTTTTACGTGACGATCCGTACGATATCGTATGTGACGATTCGAGCCCTGTTTTTGTAAAACACGAACGACAACTGCTTAGCAGTGGTCGGGGAAGCCATGTTTTACGCTAAAAATTAGAAGGGCTGTTACGGTTATAATGAAATTGCGCTATCGTAGGATTGTTGTAATGCTAAATCCGAGTATGCCATAAAATTATAGTTTGACGGTTGAGAGCTGTCAAATCAACTGCCAATTTCTCTAAAATTAAGAAAATTTTTTGAAAGTACCACTGATTACGTTTTCTGACATGCTGATGAAGAATTGTATGTCAAATTAAAATCCTGACAGTTGACAGCTGTCAAATGGACTATGAATTTTTCTAAAAATAACACAATCTCTTTCAAAATGCCACTGAATAGGTTTTTAGACATGCTAGTCACAATTGCATGTCCAAATGAAAACCTTAAGAGTTTATGACTGTCGAAAGGGCTGTCGATTTCTTAATAAATAACCAACATTTTTTTTCTTTACTAACCAAACCAGATAAATTTTCGTGGATGGTGATTTGGCCGTATATTCGGCGGCCAGTTAACACGTCCATTGTCTCGTTGACATCAAAATAAATATATTTCTAAAGACCAGCCCGTGCCCATCTTGCTCAGAAATATTAAATTTAATTTGAGCTTACGGTAAAGCTGTTGATCTTTACAGTTTCCTTTAAAAGGCTTTCACTATTAGAATAAAAAAAAGCCCAAGACCTTTGTCAAAGCTGCAGCTGTTATTTACCTAGCCATGTATTTTTACATAAAAGCTCAAGTTTTTCAATTACACAAAAAACGCCGAGGCACGTAAACTTCATTTTGGGTCGTAGATTGCGAATGTGTACCTCATTTTTGTGGATCAGGTCGTTTTTTCAAAGATATTTTCATTTTAAGTTTGCATTGCGAATGAAAAAAAAATCAACCTTTAACATGGAAAATGTTACTCATACGCCATGCACGAGTTCGGCCATGTACAATATGGCGTACGGGTAACCATGATACAAAAAGAAGGTAGTTTCATTTCATTTTTGACAAAAAAAATTAGTTTTTGAAGTTTCATAAATTGTACAAAATTGTGAGCTCCTTGCCACATTGATAACAATCAAACAATATATCAGAGGATTTAACGTTGTGCGTGGGAAGTGGGAAATGTTCGGTTAATTGTACAATGATTTTTTGTTGAGGAGCGGATGGCGTGCCACCTAAAACTCATTAGAAAGAGCACAGTAAAAACTTTAAGAAAAGCCATCCTTCGTCTCCCTGCCCCTTCTACGAGCACTACGGAGCCCATTTCAAAATAGGGTAAAATTAGCATTTTCGCATAGAACAATTAAACTCGTGTTAGGCCATCAGCAGTATTTTTGCGCAAAACTCTTTTCCGCGTTGGTTGCCTTCGGCCGCGCTAGAAAAAAACAAACTCATCACTCCAGTTCCGGTTACGCCATCCACAGTATTTTTGCGCAAAACTCTTTTCCGCGTTGGTTGCCTTCGGCCGCGCTAGAAAAAAACAAACTCATCACTCCAGTTCCGGTTACGCCATCCACAGTATTTTTGCGCAAAATCCACCTCCAAATTTACAAAAAAAGTGCTTATTTCAAACCGCAATCTTTTTCTTTTAGACTTTTCCTTTTACTAGACGTATGTATATGTTAAAATTTTTTGATTCGGGTCACGTGCTTGCACACGATAACATAAAATCATTGTACAAATAGCCAAACGGCCTTACTTATGCATTTTTCTATAAACAAAAATTTTATAAAATGAAACTGCAGTCGTTTTCATCTCATGTGGATAATTCTAGTCACAAATACATAGTTTCCAGCTGATATTTATGTATATATGTACATATGTACATTAGACTGCATCACTCCCCATACAAAAAATAATCGGTACTATTTTTCCATTGGAATTATAAAATCTACTATATTTTAAGACGTCCACCAAAATATTTCGGAAAAATATTAAGATTTAAGTGAGCTGGACCGATTTGAAAATTCCTCCAAAAATGGAGTTTTTTATGAATAAAAATAGTTTCTTAAAGATTTTTTTTTTGAAAAAATCCCCTCAAATGACAAAACGGTTTAAGCTTAAAATATTTACATAAAAATATTTAAAAAAAAAAAATTGACGGAATCGTAATGATGGGATTTTTGATGCTGTTTTTAACTTTTTTCAAAGATTGGTATAAGAAAAACTTGAATAACTGAACCTAAACTCTTCCGATTTAGACTTAAGAGGTATCATTGGAAAGGTATTTTCTCACCCTTTTCATTTATTTGCTAATACACTTATTCAAAGGATGGAAGAGAAAGCTAGGAGAAACGAACCTCATTTAAAGTTGAATTAAGATGTTTTGGTATTCGAAAAAAAGATGGGACACGAATGACGTTTCTTTTGGCCAGAAATAAAAACGGTGTGAAAATACCTTTCTACTGAGATCCCATAAGTCTAAATCAGAACAGTTTTGGCCCAGTTATTCAAGTTTTTCGTAAATCAATCTTTGAAAAAAGTAAAAAAACAGCATCAAANATTTCTGAATAAAAACGAGTTTCTCATTTCCAAATGACGCTTTCGAATTTTCATTTGACGCTTTCTCATTTACAATTTACTATTCTCATTTTCAATTGACGCTTTCTCATTTACAATTGACTATTCTCAATTCCAAAAGACGATTTCGCATTTTCATTTGACGCTTTCTCATTTACAATTGACTACTCTCAATTACAAAGGACGCTTTCTCATTTACTATTGACCTTTTCTCATTTACAATTGACTATTCTCAATTTCAAATGACGATATCGCATTTACAATTGACTATTCTCATTTCCAAATGACGCTTTCGCAATTTCATTTGACACTTTCTCATTTACAACTGGAAATGGTGTAGTCACAAATACATAGTTTCGAGCTGATATTTATGTATATATGTACATATGTACATATATTTTTTAGCAGCGCCACATCTTTATCCGAAAATTGCGAGAATCCAAAAATGGGTGCTATTGCAAGTAGCAAGGCATCATTTTAACTCGACCCCCTCCCTGTTCCACGGATAACGGTACATCGTTTAG